GGGCATTCCCTGCCTATCAATATGTTGGCTCCCTGGAGGTGGTTGACTCATTCTATGAAACATTTTTGATAATTAAAATTCACTGAAGCAAAGACACAAAGTCAAAAATCTCTATTACCTAAGAGAACTCAAAGGCATAGCCCTTCATTGCAGTCTTTCCCTCTCATTGATACTTTATTTAAAATGAAATCATTTCAACAGAAGAGACTGAAAAAAATCAATTCAAAATTATCGGCATAGCTAATGGTACAAACGCATTCATCTGTATCTTAAGAGAGCCATGGTCATGCTCTGCTTAGGTCAGTGAATAAATATCAATTATCAAAATACACCCACAGGCACAATTCAAATTGTTACTTTGAAATTAAAGCCATCTAAAAGTAAACTGAAAAGAATAACTAGCACTATAGACTCTATTTAAGGCATTTAATTAAGCAGGCATACCTGGATTTTGAATGGGTGAGTCAGTCTTGTTTCCCAGCTTCTCCCCTTGGTGGAGAAGCTCCAGCCACGGTCAGGTTCATTAGTGTCTTTCCCTTCCCAGAGGTCCCAGGCTGGATGCAGTACCTACATGTGGCCAAGTGTATCCAACAAGTGCCAATTGGAGGGGGAAAAAAATATGTTCTCTCGACCTATGGGCTGTGTTCCTGCTCATCAGGGCTCAGTGCTGTTCTCCATCTCTGTCAGGACATGCTGGGCACTCATGCTCAGCAACCTGTCCAGCCTCTGCAGGCCCTCCTCACCCACTGCTCCCAGCCAGCCCCTCCTGAGTATCACTGTGAGGGGTTAATTCTTCCAGCAGCAGCACTTCACAGTGTCCTTGCTCAATTTACTAAAGTTCCCATGGGCCCTTTCCTGCAGCCTGCCATGGCCACCCTGAATGGCAGCCCTGACCCTTAGGGTCTCCACTGCTCACCCCAATTTCATGTAGAGCACACACGATGAAAGCACATTCTTATCCTCCTCCTGATGGATGATGGAGATGTTCTATAGCATTTAGTCACAGACAAATCTCATTTGTAACACGCCTCCAGGCTGACTCACTACTATTCTTTAAGAAGATTTTTGCTCACCTACTTGTCCCCCCATTCAAGGCCCCAAGGCCCCAACTTGGATACTCCTTCCTTTTAGGTGGTTATAGTGCAGAGCTATGTTCTCATGTCATATCTTCTGTTTTATTCTTCAAAACTCCTCAATTACAAATAGTAAAAAAGGAGACCTAAGACATGAAAGCCAAAGCTTCTTTGAGGACTTTATCTTGCTACTGAGCTATACATCATAATTTATATTCCAAAATATGATCTATCATTTTGACAATTAATGATTTTAGACTATGCCTTCAATTTTGCTAAATACTGCCTTAGGAATTAAGAAAATCATTGCCATAGGAATTAAAGTAAACACAGTTCCTAGTTTCTTCCCAGCCCAGCTTGGTTACTGAGACTGCCACACTAGCAGCAGCACGACTTGGTTCAGCAGATTTAGGCTTTATGCCTCTTATACTTGACAAGGGTAAGACATGGGTGGATATGCAGGTTGCATTATAACAAGTTGTGTATCTGTTTTGTCAGAGATTTTGTTCAAAAAATGTTTAATATTTAGATCATTATTTCTTTTCAGTTTGAATGAATTGAAAATCTTCTTTCTCAGCAATACTATGGTATCAGCATGATGCAAAAAAGCAGTTAGATAGAATTGAAGTAAATGTCCCATCTTTCAGTTTGCTAAGATCTCCAAAGTGTAACATAACATACAGTACGTAGTTTTCAACAGGAGCCTTCTATTCCCACCCCCCCATTCTTTGGGCTTTTGGAAGGCTATCCAATTTACTTGTTACTTCAGGAATCTTAATCCCTCCTGACTTTGTTTTAAGCATTCTTCTGATTAGACAATCTAGACTGCATGAAGTTCCATTTGTTTTATTTGTTTACAAGAAATATCTTCACAGCAATAAAAAGTATGTTCTTATTAACCAAAGAAAAATGGACTCCATGAAATAAACTAGGAGATTCACTGAAAGAACAACTTTTGGTTTTGATTATATACAACCAAAGACTTAAATTGGGATTTATGAGGCATCTTGGAAAAGTTAATGTTATGAAAGAACTGACATTTTGTTCCTGTGGCAAACTTGGGCAGACATAGCCTAGGACTACAACTGCTAGCTGATCTACATTTTGTTGGGAGTGTAGCTTCAACCTTTTTGGTCAGCTATATTAAAATTTTGGCACAAAAAAAATATGACCTTCTTTTTTGTACTTGAGTCAGTCACGATTCACTTAAGAATGGTGTAAGCCTCCAAATAAAAAAAACCCCAAACTGATTTCTTGGCCAGTTTGAAACATTAGACTGCCCTCCTGATTTCTAAGAGTCACTTTCTCCTTTGTAGCATAACCTGTTGTAAGGCCAAACAACAAAATAGACCTCTGATCTCCTTATTCCATTGAAAATAATTGCTTTTTCTTTTTTTATACAAGTATTTGGGTGGTTCTCTTGATCAGATATAACCAACAGGGCTAAAAAAAAGAATGATGCTGAGAGAGCCTTTGATTCCATCAGTGACTCAAAGCAAGGTCAGAAGCATGATCCATAAAGTCTTTGAGCTTCTGGTCATTTTTGCTAAAAGAGCATCTTCAAAGCAGGAGGGAGGAGAAGAGTCAGCCAGAAATCTACAGAAGTCATTCTCAGATGAGTGAGCACTGGCTGAAACTAGAAATAGCAGGAGGGAATAAATTCCTAGTGACAGCAAAATCATCCCTGTGTACTCCTTTAGGAAAGAGAAGAATCACCTTTGCAAGACAATTAGTTCAGCTACAAAACGTCTGAAAAAATGGATAAGACTCAGTGGTTTTTGCAGACACAAGGAATTCCTCTTCAGAAGAGAAAGCCTCAGTTCTATTTTTTTTTCAGTATAGAAAGAAACTACAGATCCTTAAAGAATAGACATTCAATCCAGCTTTGGCCGTTGAATCAAGCAACCAGCTGAAATCCCAGAAAAAATCAAGTACCACTAAAAACCTCTCAAAAACATCATCTAAGATGGAAACAAGATTCAATTGCTACTTCTCCTCTTTGTATTCTAGCCACATCCTTAATAAAAATCTGCCTAAGCCCCTGCAGCACTTGGACAACAAGTAAAAATTCATTACTATGAACACTGATGATCGCTTCCTATTATTATATATAGTCATTACTATTACTGCCTATGGAATTCATTGGCACAGACGAAGAATTTAACAGAATTTCCAGATACATTGTGCTGCCTATAATTTCAATACTGAAAACCATGCAAAGATCAAGATTAATCAATGGGATTACTCTTCTCTGAAAAGCTACTGAAAAGATAAATGGTCTTTTAATCAACTGCAGGTCAGGTTCTTCATACTCACTGCTAGCACAAATCCTCCCTGACTACCTCAGTCTTCCCTTCTATCATACAATCTCTACTCATTTGCAGAATTAATGTATTATTTGGCTGCCCTTTACAGTAGGTGATGAATTATATCTGCTTCTCTCTTGCCACAATATATTCAAGTTTTTAGGAAAAAAAAGATGAGTCGGGAGTGCAGATCACAGCATTAAAAGAATAAATGTCTTGGATTTTTTCTTTGTCAGAAACATTTACAGGGAAGCCAGGGGTGGGCAGGTCACATTAGGAAAGTTCATTAAATAAAAATATTAACAGCAGTTCTAACTCAGAGGGGTTTGAATGCTGCATAAAAATCATTGCAAGCCTCAGATGGCACCCCACATGCAAGTGATTCTGAGAGGCATCATCTTACTTATTCAAATTGAAATATGTGCAAATCTTGCATAAACACACTCACATAGACTAACGTCACAAAAGCATAAAACCAGCAATATGATCAGTAAAACAAGATGGGAGCCTCTAGACTTGTGCGCACATGGCCAAATTGAAAATAATGGAGTTACAATTTGAACTCTGCAACAGAAATAAGTAAGTTATTTTCTCCTGCCTGTGCTTTCATAAAGAGGTGATAATTCTCAGCACTCAACAATGCTCCACAAAGGAAGTTCCAAAAATACCACCATGGACTCACATATCACTGCCCAACACAGAATGTACTTAGTGCTCATCAGTAAATCTACCTTTCATCAACACCCTCCTTTAGTTACTCAATTTACTAACGCAGGATTCATTATTGTCATAAAAATATCTTGAAACATTCTATGATCCAAGATATTATTGTAATTGGCATCAGCCTAAGATTTAGAAGTCCTATCTTTCTGAATAGAGGTATGAAAAATCTAACACTTTTCTGTGACTTTAGTTGACTTTCTGGTTTGGTTCCAGAAATAGTTTCAGATCCTTTCTTATATTAAGATCCTATGACACATTCAGCACCTTCAATTCCTATCAAGTTGACAGTAATGACTTTGATCTTCAACTTTATTTCACCCCTTGTGCTGGTTACACCTGGGGGAGGGCAGAGTCAGAGAGGTTTTTCTCTATGAGAACTTCTTCTGTGACTTGATGGGACCAATTGGAGGCTGGTTGAGTTACTGACAGCCCAAGAAACCAATTAGAGAAGTTAGTTCGCACCGTGAACACACAATTTGAAGGAGGTAACCCAGAAAAAAAGCTCTCATTTATTTCCGGTGTCTGAGCAGGTACTACCGGCCCGGGCTCCCTCCCATGGGGGGCTCGGGAGGCCGCTGGGCCCCGTTTGCAAACCAGGGGACCCGATGGCTGGGGGGAGGAAAGGCTCGTTGGTAAGATCTTGCCCTGCTTCCTCCCCATGGGCCCATGGCTCTGGGGGGGCCCGGCTCCTGCTGCTGGCTTGGAGCAGCTTTGGAAGGGCTGGGCCCACCCAGCTGCCCGCGTGGCCTGGGGAGGAGGCAGCTGGGCCTGTCTGGGAAGCAGCCGGGCCCTGTCTGGGGAGCAGGGGTGGCCATGGGCAGTGTGTGCTGCAGCTGAGCCCCAGAAAGGTTGACTGAGATCTCAGCTGCTCCTCAACCAGCAGGCCCGGGCCTGGCCCAGCCTCTGCAACTTCTCTGTGAAACTTTAACTCTTTTAGTGCTCGGATAAGACTTGCAGACCTCCAATCTTCCTTTGAATGAAAGGGAAAAACAGAAGAGATAGAAAGTCAGTGAAACAAGAGCTAAGTTTCTTTAGAGGAAAGGAGAATGAGGAGATGTTGTGAAGATGGCTGAAAATCCTTTTGTGAGCTGAAGGGTAGACTGTACTGCACTGAAAATTCCTATTAACCATGGAGAAAGACATGGGGGGTTGGAGTGTTCCATTTGATAGATCATTTGACCAAAAGCACCTGTGTTGAGAATCTTTTGCCCCGAGGAAAGAAGGGGGATCTCAGTTTTCTGAGAACGAAGCATGAACAGAGAGAAAGAGAGATGAAGAGAACTTTTGCTTTAGAACAGTTCATTCTTAAAAGTAATACCCCATGAGTTTAACATGGCCCACAAGTACAGCTCTGGGAAGGCTGTGAAGTTAAGAAGACAGTCAAGGTTGCAGATTCCCAGGCGGCTGCTACTCACAAAAGTGAAGTCAAAAGAAAACTCTTTCTTTCCCCCCTTGGGAAGGAAATCCCTATAGCCAAAAAGAGAAAGCTTGTCTCCGTGAAGTGAACTGAATAAGATTATTAAAGTGAGAAACTGACTGAAGTGTCTTTGTATGTTATTGTTAAGCAGGAATGGGAGGAGGGAGTGGTCTGAGGATCTTATTCTGAATTTACTATTTTCTTTGTGTAATTAATAAAGTTTTTAGGCCTGCCTTGTTTTTGCTCCTGGTTCTGTCTCACAACAAAAAAAAAAGAGTATATTTAAATTGGCAAATCAAAACTATAACATTATTGGTGCATTGGCTGGAAAATTCAAATTAAACCAACATGCCCCCCGCAAAACATTTGGCAGGTTTGTGAGTTATCACTGTTTATTTCCACCTTTATCATGAAAATGATAATGCAAAGTCATCATGTCTGGTTTGTAACCTTGGATGCAATCAAGAACTTCCTGAAATTTTTCCATCATGTTGTTTTGCCTTATTTGAAGAATATAAACAGAAATTCAGTCATAAAGGTGAACAGTTCTGCTGTGAAATTTCTAATCCCTTCCAGCAATTTCTGTAAAAACTTACACATTCACATTTGCTTTTCTAAATCACTCACTAGCCTTTCCATAAGGAAAAATAAATCATCTTCACTAATGGCCACTAATCATCATATTGGGTAAAAAAAATTCTCAAGTCCTTTTTCCCTTTGATTTCTGTCTTTGGGGAATTGGTTCCAGCTAATACACAGCACACTCCTCGGCTGACTAACCAGCATTGGCTGGAAGTGATTTATCTGACTGCCATTACCTAGGTAATTTGCCATGTATCATTACACTGTTGACCAGTGATTTGGGAGTCCCAGCAGTATCCCTGGGATGAAAAACTAGTGAGAACCTACTATATGAAAGCTGGAGTTATTATACTGCTCCTCTCTGAGCTATTTAAGCTACTTTTAGGAGACCCTGGAGCTTGCTCCTTCAAGTGCAATATTTATTTTCCACGACAGTTTCAGACTTAAAAGCTCAGGGCCCAATCCAAAGGCTCTTGTAGTCAATGGTGAACTTTCTTTGCTTCACCATCAAGGCTTCGCACACCATTCGCAGAAGGTACAGCCACAATAGGAGCCTGTTTTGAAGACAGAAATGATGGTTCAGAAGGGGTGAGCCTTTACACTTCCCCCTACTGTTGCTAACAGCTGGGGAGAGCAGAAGTATGCTGCAGAGCCATTCTAGTGCCAACTCATAAACAAGTATGGAGGGAGCAAAGAAGACCCTTGACTTCAAATCCCAAATTTTACAGTTTGAAAACAGTTCACTCTCTTGCTCTCTCCCACTATCACATGGAAGATTCAGTTGGGGGGGGGTGCCTTTTTTTTTTTTAATTTTATTATATAAACTTTCCCTCTGAATGAGAAATATTTGAGTTTCAACGACAAATTAAAATGTTCCTTTCCTTCTCGCTCTTTAGGATTTTGTGGAGGAGTAATTTCTACACAGTTTGAAAATATCAGCTGTGACTTCACACTTATAAAAACTCTTGCTAAGTTCAAAAACCAGACCATTCAGGAAAACAGTGGGTAGCTTCTGCAAGTTATCCTAATCCACAAATTAAGGATTTAAAAACAGATACAACCTACATATCTGATACAGGAAAATTTAAAGCAACTTTAGATATATTTTATACCACAATGATTGTGAATATTACTTTTCTGCAGTACAGAGACAGTTTTATAGAGCCCTGAATCTGTGATTTATCCATTGGATTTGCTCTGTACTTAAAAATCTCTTTTTGTACATTTAAAACATCTGTTGTTCTGAAAGTTCCTAGCAACAAGGAGGGAACTAAATCCAAAATCAAGATCACTATATGGCTAAATCACTCCTCAGTTTTACTTCTGTATTAAAGTTGCTTTGGGGTTTATGAGCCAGAGAAACTTTGTCTCATTACAAAAAGGAAAAGAACATACACTTTGAAATTACTCTTTAGAGCACAGACTGTCATCAGACTAAGAGCTGGTGCTTTCAATAGTTAGAACAGACTAATGACATAATATTGAACGCTATCAAAGTAATATGATCTAAAAAAAAAAAATAAAAATTAAAATAACAACTATTTTCAAATAATTCTGTCCATTCAATATAATAAAGATTAATCTGGTTTTACAATATTAAATATGAATTCTCTGTCTCAAAAATTGTAAAAAGACAACTCCTTAAGACCAAGCATGCAAAGTTCTCTGTTTTCAGTACAGAGGTATTGAAAAACTGAAAGTACTTTTATAGTTAAAGAAAAACAAGAAGAAAAATAAAATAAAATCATTAAAAGGTACGTTGGTTTTTTTTCCCCCCAAAGATCAGAAGGGAGGGGAAGAAAAAAAAAGAAAAATTAACTGATAGTATTAGATTAAGTATGACTTTTATGTATGAAGATGCATATTTTTCATGTAACAGAATGAAAGCAACTTCCTAAAGCATTTATATTTTCAGTTTCCAGACTAGTCATCCTCCTGGCCTTTCTCTTGATTCTAAAGCTGGCTGTAGGATCTTTTGGCTTGAATATCCTTGTTTCACACCTGCCTTACAACATATGTTTAAGCTATTACATTATGCACATGTTCATATGACATGCCAGGAGCTAATGTTTCTGATCTGTAAAGAAAACAATGCCTTCCTATTACCAGTTAACCAATATATTGTGCATGTGAGTGCACTGCAGCACAACTGCTGTGGAATTTTATGTACCACATACACTTCTTCAACCAGTCCCAATATTTCCCCGTGTGTGGCTTTTACACTCCACTTGCACAAACTCTTCCAAGGATTGCTCTACCTTATTAATTGCACAACCTAGATATAAGCACACCATGGTCACAGCAGTTGCAGACAATCCTTTTTCTAAGAATTACACCAAAGGGTCATCTATACTTGTTAAGATATTTAAGGTGTCTTTTCTGTTTAAACCAAGTCTAAAATATATATATTTTTAATGGACTATAGTAAGAGAACAATTCCACATAAATGAAAAACATATGGAATTGTTCAAAAGGTCAACTATGTAAAAATGCGTTATATACTGTGTTTATAGGTGTTTTATTCACAGAAAAGGCTAGCATTGGGGTTTTATTGATATCCTAGTGAAAAGCATATTAATCAAAGGGTTGCAACGCCCTTTCCTCTGCATTTTAATGCAGACCACGAAATAGCACAGTAACATACAATTATTTTTGAAACATTAGCTTGTATTGAATCTATATTATGTCTTCACTTTGGCTTTGTATCCAGATCATTTACAGGTGACCTGTACACATATACCATTTCCATTCATATGCCATATGAATATTTCTGAACTTCACAGCTGAGATTACAGATCCAAAATCAGAATCCTATACTATACTGCGGGCTCATCTCCAGTCAAAAGTGCTGAATGTTTTACCACAACTAACTAGATAATCTAATCAGAATAGTAAATACAGTATCAGATTTTGCTGCATTCAAGAACATTCAAGATTTGGCCAGAAGCAACTAGGCTAAGCCTAAACATGAAAATACAAAGGAAAATAAAAGCAATTGCATAGCAAAGACCTCAAGGATACAAAAACATTTGCACACAGAAAGCAGCTTAAGAAAGGGGGAAGTTTGTGTCTGCACATGACCTTTGCTTTCAGTGAAACTAATAATATGATTGGGAATAAAATATGATGCAGATATGGTGTCTGTACATTGACTGTATCAATGCAGCTCATTCCATTTATGTTTGGCCCAAGAAATCATGCCAGTTCTGTACAGAGCATAGTAACCCATCAGAAACTGCCAGGTACCAGCTTGGTACTCCTGTGTAACAGTTAGGAACCTCAGTACACAGAATTCACTTTAAACTATCACCTTGATAACTGTCCTTGCCCAGCTGCACCTCTCCTTCATTTAAGGAACTAGGAGCCCTATAGGGAATGCATGAGCAACTACAACAGGAAGTTGTTAGCTGCTGGGCTCAGCAGTCAGAAATCTGCTTTCCATTTACACCTGCTCCAGCCAGAGTCTGTAGAACAGGAACAAACCCTTGATTGAGGTTCAGAGGTGTAATAGTACGTGTGATTGTAGAATACAGAAAACCATTTATAGGTTATGTTCTTTCTCAGACTCTATTCAAGAAGCAACCATGGATATTGAGTTTTTTAGTTTTAACTATTTTTTTAAAATCAATAGGCATACATGGTGCAAAGGGTCAAATTTGATGAGAGATACCTGAAGTAAAATTGATGTTATAGGTTGATATATTTGCTTTCTATACTTCTACCTGTAATAAACACATTCAATATGTAAAACTAGGCTATATACATACATGCAGTAAATGTTTATATTAGAGAAACAGTATTGTGCAATCTTATTTTCCATTTACTAATTTCAGACTTTGAACAAAATTTTATCCAAATTAAAAAAAAAAAATCCACTGAAAATAGAAGAATCTTTCATCATAGAAAGTATTGTCTCCGCAATTAAATATATTGCAATAGATACAATCAAGAAGAAAATCTGAATACTAAATATTTAATTTTCAAACTTGGAGGGAGAGAGGGATACAAAAAAAAAGAGGAAAACTGAATTTAAGATCATCTTCTGTCTATTAATTTCATTTGCAACATGCCCAAAGAAAAGTCTTTTTTTTCAGATGTATTATGAAAACAATATTGATCTATACAAGTTCTGAAAACAGCAGAAGCCTCAATAAAAATACATGGACTCTCAAATTAATTAAAAGGCTAAATTTGGGGCAAATGGGTGCTGGAAATGCTCCACTCATTTGCACTCATAAAAAGAGAAGATAATTAACCCTCCAATCTCAATGTTATCATCCAAATAACGTAAACTCCACCACTTACATAAACAGACACTTCAGGTTCCATGTCAACATTCAAGGAATTTCAAGCCTTTTTTTTAGCCTTTGATTATTCCACCAAAAATGTATGGTACCTACACATCTAAGCATGAACCCCTATGTCCATAAGAGTACATTCAGAAATGTAAATGGCAGCATTTATGACATTGATTTGAGAACATTTTGTACAAAGCACATCTAGAAGTAGGGCACAATGCATGCAAAACATATGCTGCTTTCTTAAATGGCCATTAAGATTTATTATTTTATATGATAAATTCTTTTGATGAAATCTTAAAAGACTTCTCTTTTAAAAGATTTTTTTTGACTAAACATACTTATTCAGATTTTCAATCCTAAAAAACATCCCTCTGCATCCTTCTCATACTTGTTTCAAAGACCACTTACTTATATACTCCATTATTTTCATTAATTACACTCAGCATCTACTCCAAGAATTGAAAATAAATCTATATTCCCCATTTCTTCTCCAGTCTTTACATGATTTAGAACACTTTATCTCATAAATATGATAAAACATAAACACATGTATACAGCACTTTTCTATGCTCTAAGTATCAAATCAGTAGCCACCAAGTAAAAAGGATAGCATTCTAGATTTAAAAATTCTACACAAGCTACTGAAACTACCCTCTAGGAAATATTAGGCATGTTGATACACATTAGCCTTCTCTTTGTTTCCTATATAATTATTTATATCAGCGCTGATGCACATATATTGACTATTTCACCACAGAAAAAAACCCTAAGGCCAACAGTATTTTTCTGCCAGGATCCATAATCTGAAGTGGTATTGAACACTAAATCAATAGATTTATTTCACATATATCAGGGACAGACGAAGTTTAGTGCAATTCAGGATGTACAAAATCCGTATCTTACTTGCTCCTTACTTCACTAGTTCCTTCCTCTTGTTCAATTAAAACTGAGACAATCTCAACTCTCAAAGATCTCAGAAAACTGCAGCCTGAGGAGAAAAGACAGTAGCTACCCAAGTTTCAAATTACTTCCTTATTCCACTACTCGGACTTTTTTTTCTTCTCTCTTTTCCTGGTACCAAAATTCTATGCAACAGTTAATAAAACCATTCAGAAATAAAACTTCTTCTCTCAGAAAATTATCTGTAAAAATGCATCATTCTCAGTTGCTTTATTAAGCTAGACCAGATGAAATATAGCATTTCAGGTTATCTCAAGGGTCAAGTCACAGTCTGAATGTACCCAAGCTGCTTCTTAACAATTAGCTGTGCATAACTCTGCACACACTTCCCACATCCATGCCTGTTCTTCCATTCTTCCTTTTTCTTGACCTGTAGACAGTCATTATCTATAACCAAAAAGACTACTTCCTAAACCAAAATTACTTTCTGCTTGGCCGTGATTTCTTCTACTGTTATAATTTTCACTTCCAAACACCTTAGCAAGTCCCATTTAACCAGAGAATGCACAGATAAAATTTAATTAAATGCTATACACAAACTACAAATCTTAAACAAGTCAAGCAACTGTTGTCACTGATACTACAAAACTCTTTCTAATGGAATCAAGTTTGGGAAAATACAGTGCCCAAGATGAACGATCAACCTTCTTGTGATGCACATATAATATATTAATATGCCAGCGTAAGCTTCCACACAGAAAGATGCTTAAAAATAGAATTTCAATGAAAGTCAACATTCAGCCTACATGAATACAAAATTTAAAATGCAAGAGATTTCAACAGAGGAGCAAAACCCAAGCCATTTAACACTGCCAGTGAGGGGAGGATGATATATATGAAAAGAAACACAAACAAACTGGAGTTTATGGAATTTTTCAGAGACTGAATGAAAACAATGTAAAAATGGGACAAAGAATGAGAAGAATCACGTAGTTCAATTACAAGGAGTAGGATTTGGTACAGAACATGTTTGCAACAGTGTTCTGAAGATTGAAACTTCACAATCTTACTATGTGGGATTTGAGCTGAACAAGATTTGCAAAAGTCCTTAAAAGCAACTTTGCTCTTTCTGAATAAAACCCCAAAACTCACATTAGACTTGAAAACACACTAACTCTTGAAGCATACATTTGAACCACACACATCTTATTTCTTATCATTTTAATTCAACTCATTTGCAAGTTGAGGGAATTGGTGATCTGCAAGAATTTTTGGAAGCCTTATCAGAAGGCATAAAAGATATAGATTGTGGATAGAGGAAATCTTATAATGAAAAGCATGACACACAGCTCAAAACCCTGAAACCAAACTGTTTCCCCAAAACATCTGTCTCTTTTGTGGGATTTTATGTCCATAATAATAAATAATTTGGTTTAGGAGTGCCAGTTTATTAACTATTTAAGAATGTCTAAGGCACAGCAGCTACCTGGATCTCACAGCCTGTCCAAATAGACTGAATGTTCTCTGTTGGCAACAGTATATTCAAATACAAGTATTACTATTATGGCCTGATACTAATAAACACAGGTTTAATTTTAAATGGGGTTGAAATTAATTTCCTTCCCTTACCATTTGTTATTTATTTTTTAGCTACTGAATAGTCCTAGACAGTTAACAAAAATCTTAAACATTTCATCACTTTGCAGTACTGTTGAAGGCTTCGGATGTAACAGTACAATATTTCTGAATTAAAATTACTTTTTTGGAATCAAGTACGTAAATACATACCATGTCTGTATATTTTTCTTTTGAAACTTTCATTTTAGTTCATGCCTTACAGTTTCAACTCACCAATTCCTATCATCTGCACTGAGGCTGAGGAAGAGTAAAAAACCAGTCTTTTAATGTCACCACTCCTACTTCTTACTCTCTTGGATACATTTTTCTCTCTTATGAGCCCATTAAGATGATTAAAAAGGCAACATTTTTCATCTGGATTTAGTTTTGAAAATGTGTAAACTCCATGTGAGAAATTAGGCCATCTTCACAACCAACTAAGGAGGGGTGTTGATCCTTTGGGTAATCATTTTGGATTAGGCCACTAGCAATTTTACTGCTTTAAAGGAAATCTCTGGGTAGCAGGAGGACAATCAAATTGTTAATAAAACTTGTTTTAGAGAATCATTGCCCATCAATGCAGTGCAGCATGGAGAAGGAAAATAAGTTAACTGTAGAGCTATAAAGCTATGAGTGCTCTTCACTAAGAGCCAACAGCTGTAAACAGTTTTCACAGTCTATTTATCAGGTTGGGTAGGCACTGGAATTTAGAGTCCATTACAAAGACTGCATTTTCATAACTAACTGTTTCCAGTAGCTTGGATTAAGTAAGGAAGCCATGTAAGAGAAAACTCTTCAAAAATAGCTGCATTTGATCGCTGTAACGATTAAAGGTTGAGATGCGTTTTCTGCACATGACATAAAAAGACAAATACGTAAGTATCTCTACATTTGCAAAATATGCAAATCTCATAAAATATTCCAAAGTCATTGACTAGCCTTCTCAAAATCAGAAACAAGAATGGACAAAAGTAGGGCATATTTTGGGGACCCAAAAAACCTACTGAAAAGATGATACCTGCCTTCTGCCCATAGTGAGACTGAATCCATTCCAAGACAAAGACTTTGAGCAGTATGCTGCAACATGCATTCTAGGATTTGGCATATGAATAGAATTCTTCAAACATTTCTGCAGTGACATAAGGATGACAATCCAAACAATTCCAGCCAAAAAGAAAGTAGTTTTCTTTTACAAAATATTTTAGCCATCTGGAATTTTTGAAAACAATTCCATAATCCAAAACACAACCTGCATCAAAACTAACTAAATGGAATTTTTCTTGTCCTCCATGAATAATCAAATAATTTAGGTCAGAAAAATCCTTTAAGATTATCAAATCCAACTGTCAACCTAACACAGCCAAGTCCATCACTAAACCAGGTCCCCAAGTGCCACACTTAAATATCTTTTAAATACCACCAGAGATAGTGGCTCAAGTCTGGGCGGCCTATACAAATGCTTGACAATCCTTTGAAGAATTTGAAAGAAACTGAAGAATTTCTTGGATTGGATATTAATCCAATCTAAACCTCATCGAGGCACAACTTTAGGCCATTTTCTCTCATCCTATCACTTTCTACTTGTGAGAAGTGACCGACCCCCACTTTGCTACAGCCTACTTTCAGGTAGTTGTAGAGAGAGATAAGGTCTTTCATCAGCTTTCTTTTTTTCAGGCTTTAGCCCAGCTTCCTCAGCCATTCTTCATCAGATTTGTCCTCCAGGCCCTTAACCAGTTTTGTTGCCCTTCTCTGGAATTGTTACAGCACCTCAATATCTTTTTTGTAGGGAGAGGCCCAAAACTGAACACAGGATTTGAGGTGTGGCCTTATCAGTGCCGAGTACATGAAGACAATCCCTGTCCTAGTCCTGCTGGCCACACTATTGCTGATCCAGGCCAGGATGTCATTGGCTTTCTAGGCCATCTGGGCATACCCTGGCTCATGTTCAGCTGCTGTTGACCAAAAACCCAGGTCCTTTTCCACGTGGCAACTCTTCCCCTAGCCTGTAGCACTGCCTGAGGTTGTTGTGACTCAACTGCAGGACCCAGAACATTGCCTTGTTGAACCCTATGCAACTGGCCTCAGCCCATCATTCCAGCCAGTTGGGATCAAGTTCTGTGAAATTTACTTGACACATACTCAGCAAGCCATTATTTCAGTAAAGGAAGCTCATGCTTCCTGAAGGCCTGGCTAGCTACTCACCTCAACCCTCTCCATGCCCACTTTCTCCAGACTAGCCTACAATCTGCTTCCTTAACTTAAGAATTTAAGCAGTAGGATTTTGCTAGGTCATTTCATCTGAAGCAGTTTAGACAGCATTCAGCAATTAGCTCCACTCACAAATCTAAACTGTTGCTAATCTTTAACAGAGAATAAAAAGACAGAGAAGAGGGAGAAAAAAATAAAGCTTATATGTGAAAAGGTTGCAGATTATTCTGCCTCACAATGAAAGAAATAAGAATGTGTGTTTGTGATCCATTAGAAAACTGTGCTTGTGAATTCTTAAAATGCGTATTTCAGGGAACAGAAATCTTTGGGAATGAAAGCCTGTCTGGATTGATTAAGTCATCAGATGCAAAGTGTTAAAATTGCCGGTCTTGTTTCCCTGTTTAATCGCTTGTTGAGGAAGTCCCCAAGGCACTCTTTAATTGTGTTTATACAGCAAAGCAATGATATGTCACATGTGGCAGTACAAAAATATTTTCATGCTGATTCTATAGGTTTGCATAACTCTGATTAAGGTACTTTTCCTGTTTTAACTTTACAGCTTAACTTTCAAATTTAAATTTGAATTTATGACTGAAGACTTGGAAAATATGTACTTACACAATTAAAGAATGCTTAAAAAATTGTATTTGACTCAGTTTCATTTTCATTGCATTTTTTTTACATGATATAAGACGTCACGCAAATGTTTACTGTGCATTTCTTTCACACACCTTCACAAACAGAAGCAAGTCTGTTCCCATGGCGATCATCCATTCAGGCAGCAGAGTGCACAAGATTAACTGCAAACCTACAAGGAGACTTAATTCCCAGTATCTCTTAAGAAATTCAGAGTCCAATAGTCTTTCATTTTACTCACTTGTCACAATGCTTCACAGTTTCCAAGGGTTTTTTGTAAAGCCTGACAGATGTGTAAGACTTGAAGAATTTGTTTTGGTTTTTGTTTTGGCTTCTTAATAATTGTATAATTCAACACTGTTCAAAGGAATCTTGGGTGTGGCCAAGAAAAATCCTCTAATGGTCACCACTGCAAATGGAAAGGCAAATAATTCAGATTGCAAACTAAAAAAAAAATTACAAATGTTTTTGAAAGAACCACCAACTAAAAACTGTTTTGTATTGTTTGAGTAGGAGGAACTACATTGGAAGTTGCTAGCCCAGACAAAAATAAAAAATCTGTTCCCCATAAATACTTGGGTTTGTACTTGTGTTGCAGCACTGTCATGTGAAAAATAAGAAGATAACCAAACTGCAGCCCCACCCCCCAGTTGAACTAGTCTAAAGAAGGATAATTTGTTGGGCTTAGCTGCCCATAAACAGACTCCATATACAGCAATACAAAATACCGATTTTCTCAAACGAGGAAGAGGTATCTCAAGCCTCAGAAGTGGAAACAATTATACATTCCTAAAAGGATCTCAGGTTTTGTTTGTGAAGTTGTAGCAAACAGAGCACTGTAACATCTTGTTTATATCTATTTTACTCACAAACATACCCACTTTTATCTATGTACTGTATGTATGAATGTTTATCAATAACCCTAATGCTTCATACTACACAAGTGGACCGAGATTTCAGTTCAAGAGCATTAAGCATTATTTAATCTAGTCTGAATCTGAATAATAATGAGAATCACACCAGATATTCTAGCAGTTAGCATGTATAACAGGTATATATTTTCAGATATGGTTTTATAGCAAAGTACATAAGCTAGTGAAAGTACTTAGGCACATTCCTATAGATTTTGCTGACTTCAGGATCACGCACAAGACAGGAGTTGGATCTCCAATAAATTACAGGCTTTTTTTACTTTTAGAATACATTATTTTCACTAACATTTATGGAGCCCAAACAACCAGCCAACATGAAACTTCTGTTCAAATGATCCTATACAGCCTCTGCAGAGACCTCTAAAAGCTGCCATGAGTATTACACACCACGCTTCTGACCCAACAGTAGAAAGCCATCAACAGTTAATCCCAAGTGGTTTCTGCCACTGCCAACAGTGGCAGAAACCATGAAGTAAGATGTCCTTATTTACTTATAAACCCTGTGCCACCTTCACACTATGACAGAACATATCAAAGGTTTTGCATAATTTCTAAAAAGCCTTTTAATAAAAGCAAATGAGTCAGGGGTTTTTTTTAAAAAGAAGAGTTCTTGGCACCCAAATTGCATTACATTTCAAAGGAATTTAAGAGCTCAACTCCCTTAAGGTCTTTAATGTAGGTTAGCAGCATACCATTTATCAAAACAGTGACTATTTGATCCTCACTTGTGTAAAAAAAAGATGGGCATCAAGAGGCAGCTTCAGTATCTTGAAGTCAGTGATTTACATATATTTATTTAACCTTATCTGTGGTGCCTCCACAGTCATTACCCAATAAATACTTTATTGCTTCCTGGCAGGGGCCTCCTCCACTGTACCAAAGCCACTAAATACTACACTCAGGCTCCCACACCTCTTCTACATCGTGTGTCTATCACTGGATCACTAACAAAGCAGTTTTCATCCTAAGATGCAAATAGTTCCAAAAAAACCTGACTAGACCATGTATGACTTATCTTTCCAAAAGAACTCAGTAGAATTTTCATACAGTGCTATCAGATCAATTGGGTGCACCTAAACCAATTTTTTTAATATATCCACTTCACAACTGTAAAAATACTCCTAGCACTGTACGCTGCCTTTGAGGGAATCAGAGATTTGAAAAGTGGATGTTCCCATGTTTTTCAGGATATTTTCATTCTGAGCCTAGGTATGGATGGCTCTCCAATGCCACCTAGGCAATTTTTCATTCTTCAATACAGCAGTTCTTCTTACACTGCATAGGAAAAGCAACTGCCATTCTTATTGCCCAAACAGTAAAAGCACATAACTTTTAACACAAAAGCACAGAATGGGAGGTAACTACTCCAATGTAGATCAGCAAGAAAAACTAACAGCAGAACCCAGAGGTTGACCTCATGTTGTTTTGTAACATAAGCACTTTCCATCCAAAGGGCAAAAGTCAAGGAGAGTTTGATTGTGGAGTCAAAATAGTCCTACTGCTCTGTTGTTTTAGCCTCCCTTTCTTCCTCCAGATTATTCCACTCAACATAATCTACAGCATTTAGTGATAAACCTGCTGGCACACAATTTATAGAGAAACAACACTTGATTCCATTTCAGCTACTTATCTTTTTAAGCAGTGGAAAGAAAAAGACTCCTACTATATATAGTGACTCCTTGGTGTCTAGCCATCCTCCCCCGGCCCTGTTTTTGGTATGCACACAGGACATGGTTTTAAGTAGAGCAATATAGACAACAATTCAATTTCCCAAAAGGACATAATAGATGCTTTTTCACAACTGAAGGCCACTCGTAATGCGTGGTTGGCTGTGAAAAGTAACTGTGAAGCAATTATAAGATCAAGTATCTCTGACCATATTGAAGAACCCAAAGCCATGAAGTTTATGCCACTAATTGAGAATTAGTATGTAGAATTAGTATGTACTTGTATGATGTACAACCAAATCAAAGATTATTCCATTATAGGAATAATGTAGGGCAATAACAAAAGCTTTTCTTTATAACTAGCCAAGTATAAGAATGGCAAAGAGGAAGCAAAAAAATTACTTAGTAAACTACATTCCTATTCTCACAAATCTGGAAAACTTCAGTGGCTGATGCGTGGAAAAAAAAATCACAGAAAAATGTGAAAGGTGTTTTTTACTTTGCCTATTAGTAGTAAACATTATTTTTCCAAAGGAACACGTCTAATATTGTATACGATTAACTTACATATTCCAAAATTAAATAGGGGTCTTTCTGATTCTATAATTAAACAAAGTAATGTACAGAAAATTAAACATTTAAAAAGTTGTAAGCAGCACCCCAGCAGTAATTCTACTAATCAAACATTTCCAAATCAAATTTTTAGAATATTGAACTGTTATTCCAGCATTGATATAACCAGTAATCAAAAATAAGACCCATTTCCCACTGCTAACCCCCTTCTCAGATTGGAGACATATTTTTTAATGGAGTCATGTAAAGGTCATATTAAGTGCTGCATTTGAGCTTTTTTTTGTGTGTCCAGTAACATGAGCAAGAAAGA